GTGAACATGACCCAGCGGCCACCAGTTCCACTCTGGGCCTGCAGGAGAACATGAGGACCTCCTGACCTCAGTCTTGGCTCTGGACTTGATTCAGTGTGGGGCTTCCGGCAAGGGCTGGTGGCTTCGAGCCAGGGCAGAGGCCATTCCCAGGGGCTTTCCCACCAGGCAGACACCAAGTTGCCCCCCAATTCAGAGTGGAGACAGGCAAGACACTGCAATTCAGAGCCCTGGGTACAATCCCACACTTCCCCTCCTGAGGGAGGCCCCTCCAGTTGCAGCCACTCTGGGTCCATACGGTTGGGCTCCTCACGCACCTATACTGTAGCTTTGTGTTTATGGAGCAGCCTCTCACTGTCCAGCCCAGGGCCTCACCTGCCTAGATTTGTGCCCTTCCACATGGAAGCCACTAGCCAGATGTGACAATTTGAACTTAAATTAATCAAAATATTATAAAGATATGTCTCAGTTGAACTAGCTAAGTGGACACATGTAGCCCTTGGCTCCCAGGCTGGACAGCATATGATGTTTTTCATTGGAGGAAGTTCCTAAGGGATTCCCTGGGAGGCTCATCACCAGAGCCTGGCACACATCCCTCCTCCTAACCCAGAAACACAGGCCACTTTGTGCGTGAGGCTTAAGAACTGCCATCCTAGAGCTTTCTGATTTTTAAGCTCCCAATCACTCTTGGGTCAGCCAACTGGCAGGTGTAGAGACTGAGCAGGGTCTCAGACACCTCCAACAAGCATGTAGTGTGCCCCTGTGCCACATAGGAGTTCACAAACCACCATGTACACACCCCCCACACACACACACAACCCTCTACTCCCAGTGTAGGTTGGAACAGCTTGGGTACTGCAAGCGCAGCCATCTGAACACACCTACGCCCCTAGGCAGGGACACATGGTCTCCATACAGTGTCACCCCCATGGGACGATGCTCCTTCCTGAGGGAGTCAGGCCAGACCAGCCCTTCTAGCCGCAGAACCCAGCTACCTCAGATGGAGGGGTAAGCCTGATGAATCCTGGCTCCTTGCCTGTGGCCCAGTCCCAGCTTCCATGACCTGCCCAGCTTGGTTGGAACATGAAGGCTGAGGAGGCAAGGGGTGGGGGCACAATAAAAAGAAATGAGGACAAATTTCTGTCTCCTTTGGTTTCCTCTCAAACCCTTCTGAAGTTCAGTGTGCTCACCTTCGAGATGCGCAGCTGAGCTGAGCATGTGAGGCCCCTGTAGACAGGCTGGTGAGGGATGCCTGAACCCAGCCGGCTCAGTGAGCTCACAGCAGTCCCTGAGCCCCATCTCCTACACAGGACAGGGCACCAGCACTCTTCCCAACCCCAAGAAAGCTGTTCTCCTGGTTGTGGAGCAATTGAGCACCCCAGAAGCAGCCTTGGGAAATGGGGTTGAGACAGGGGCTTGTTGTCTCAAGGCTGGGATTTGGGGGGCACTTCCACAAAAGGAAGTGAGGCTTGTGGTTGGAGAGAGAGAAGGCTCCATGTGGCCACGCCCTCCAGCCTGGGCTCACAGCCAGTCAGGGATTCTGAGTACCCCCACCCTGCTCTGTCTGGACCAGTCTGCCCAGCACAATTTCTCATACTGTACAGATGGATCTGTACTGTTCAATGTGGTGGCCACTTGCCAAGGGGAGCCAATAAGCACCTGGAACCATTTCACTTTTTAATGTTTTTCAAACAATGCCTTGCTATGTGGTCAAGCTGGTCTGAAATTCACGACCCTCTTCTCTCGGCTTCTCAAATGCTAGGATCATAGGTATTCGGCACCATACCCAGTTCTTATTTACTTTTAATTCACCAAAATAGCTGTACAAAGCAAGTGGCTAGCAGAGTGGACAGCATGGGCCAGTTGTTCTCACAGACCTTGGCCTTCTGCCACCTTCCCCAGCCAAGAACCTCTTTCCCAGCCCCCAAAGCCTTCTTCCTGGGTGGCAGAAAAAAAAAAAAAGAATCCAACCAGCCTAGATACCTTCAGCCAAGGCAGCTTCCTCTCTCTCACCTATTCCCTACGTGCTTTCTTCTCTTGCCTCATTCTCTGCCTCATGTTCTGCTACAGGCCAGCCTACTCCCTCTTCATTGCCGCCCTTCCAGAAAGACCAGTTCACCCTTGTCTTCAGCTGGCCTCCACCCCCATCACTGCCAGATGCCCTTGCCAAGGTCACTAGCAGAGTCCTTGCTGCAAAATCCACGGCGACACTTGAGCTTGCATCTTGCTTGGCTCCCAGCATTTAACAATTATTCAAAGATTCCTTATAGTGGTGCCCAGTGCAGCTTCTCCTGACTTCCTGGCAGGCCTGGAGTGTAGGGGAAGAAGGCCTCTTGTAGCTCTCACACAGCTCACCCTGTGTCCTTGGCAAGTGGCCTCTCTCCAAGACTCCCCTGTGCGATAGGGGTACTGCAACTTCTGCTAGGGTTGGAGTAAAATTAAGTGCCCCCAGGACAGTGCCTGGTACACACCATCACTAATTCCCCCCCTCTCTCTATATATGTATATATATATATATATATATGTATACACACACATACACACACACACACTCTTCTTGATGCTACAACTCTTGCTGTCCTTGGTTGGGCACATGGCTGCCTATAATGGAAGTTGCATTTCCATGTTCTATCTCTTGCAAGTGGATGTGGTCATGTGACAAAGTTTGAGGTAGTGGGATACATGGGGGAATGTTCTGGGTGCACTTTCTGGGCATTTTTTTGTTTTGTTTTGTTTTTTTTTTGAGACAGGATTTCTCTGTGTAGCTTTGTAGACTAAGCTGGCCTCGAACTCATAGAGATCTGCCTGCCTCTGCCTCCCAATTGCTGAGATTAAAGGCCTGCGCCACACCACACCCCCACCCCGGCTCTGGCACTTTCTTTAAGAGAGTGTTGAGCTGAAGAGATGACTCAGTGGTTAAGAGTACTTGCTGTTCTTGCAGAGGACCCAGGTTCAGTTCCCAGTACCCACATGATGGCTTACAACCACCCATAGGCACACACTGATGCATATACATACATACATACATACATACATACATACAGGCACTATTTATCCACATAAAATAATTTTAAAAAGAGAGAGTTAGTTGTTGATCTTTTGCTGTTTTCCTCCACTCCAAAACCTGGAGTATATATGTGATCACTGGAGCTCTGGTCCCTATTCAGAACCATGAGGTCAAAGGCCAGTGCTTGCTGGTACAGGGGGTGGAGGGAGCCAGCTCTGGGAGGTTTCTGTGGAGTAGAGCCATCATATCCACCCAGAATTGTTTCTCAAGGCTGAGATATTTGTTGCCTAAGTCAGAATTTTGATGCTCCTTGGGACAAGTGTTTTGCTCTTGGCCTTGTTTTAGTTGATTTGCTTCGTCCTTTCCATGGTGCCACTTATGACTGTGGGTCCTTGAGGACTCTCAAAACTGTCCCGTTGATATCGAGGTGCAGCTCAGCAGTAGCACACTTGCTTAATATGCAGGAAGCCCTGGATTCAATCTTGAACATTGGGGGAGAAATGTCTCTTTGGCTCAGCCCTTTCCTGAGTTCCTGCCCTATAAATGCAATCCTCCAATTGCTAGATCCTCAGGGTGTCCCGTCTCAGCTATCATGCTGCCTCTTTTTTTTTTTTTTTTTTGGTTTTTTCGAGACAGGGTTTCTCTGTGGCTTTGGAGGCTGTCCTGGAACTCGCTTGGTAGTCCAGGCTGGTCTCGAACTCACAGAGATCCGCCTGCCTCTGCCTCCCGAGTGCTGGGATTAAAGGCGTGCGCCACCAACGCCCGGCTATCATGCTGCCTCTTAAAGATCCCTAAAGTCTGTCTACTTCACCCGAGTCTTTCCCATCTGGACTAGGAACTCTTGAGACAGAGGGTTCTTCTTGATTTGTCCAGCAGAGCCTGACCCCTCCTAGGTACCCAGCTGACGAAGGGCTGATGGTCATTCTGGGTATCCAGGAGGACATGGGGAAGGCTTCCTAGCAGCAGAAGTATTAAACCCCAAAAGACAAGTGGGGGTTAGGCAGGCGTGAGCTATGGAGGGTTTGAGAAGACCTACTCTCAAGGTAATGGGCACACTGGAAGATCCCAGGAGGCAGCTGTCTGGTGTTTCTGAAAGCCTGTCCTGGTTGTCCCAGGAAGGCCAGTGGGAAGTGAGGCTGGATGGGGTGAGAGGCCAGGGGAGACACTGCTGCACTAGTCCAGGGGAGACACGACTAGTGGTCGGGCTCAGGGAGGGGCGGGAGGTGGAAAGAGGTAGCTAGACTGAGCCTTACGCTAAACCTGCTACACAGGTAGGATTCAGGAAACTCCTGGTTTCGGACTCCAGCTGGAGACGGGGACACAGCGGAGACCAAGCTGGAGACAACAACAGGGATCTGGATTTGAGGCAAGCAGTGATGTGGGGTTCTCTAAGAGACTAACAGCAGGATCTAACCAAGAGTCTGTGAGGGCTAGAGTCCCCAGGCACAACCATAGCTAGGGCCTCTTGGTCCTGCCGGTCTTTTCCATTCTCTTAGTCCGTTAGGGGCTTATTGCCTCCTGCTCCTCCCCAAGCCTGAGTGCCGCCCAACCCCAGCAATCGGCCGGACCTCCCTCCTCCTGGCTCCCGCTACCCCAGGAGAACACTCAACTCCAGGCCCTTCTCCATCAGTCTCCGCTTAGTCTCACCCTGGCACGCGCTTGGCCTCATCCCCCGAGGGAGGGATGCTCTTGTCTCTACAAACCAGGACACAAGATTGAAGATTCGGAGAAAAGCACCGTACGCTTCAGGCCAGGCTGAGGAGTCCACGACGAGGCCCGAGGGATTTCGGGTTCCCTTAGCCTGCCTGTCTGCGGGCGCCGGGGGCGTGACGCGTCGGGGCCCAGCCGCAGGGCCCCTCCCGAGCTGCCTCCTCCGGATCGCGTCGAGACCCCGCCCCCTCCACCCGCGGGCTCTGATTGGACGGTTCTGCGGTGCGCTGCGCGGCGCAGCCAATAAGAGCGGGCTGGCGCGGCGGCGGGCGGAGGGGGGGGGTGGAGAGCGCTGCCTGGAGCCAAGGCGCCGGCGGGTTGAGCAGGGCGATCCCAGCCCGGCGCGGCGAGCAGGGCGGGGCGAGCGCCGCGGGAGCTAGCCTGGCGCCCACCGTGGAAACTGTGGTGAGGTGCCGAGGTAGGGGATCGGCGGCAGGGACTTGGAATGGGAAGTTGGGGTGTGGACCGCTAAGCCGCTCTGTGCTGCGAGCGTGTTGTAGAGGGGTGGTCTGCGAGGCCGCGTCTACGTGGGCAGCCCGGACCTAGCGTATAGCGACCCCCACTGTGTCTCCAGAGTCAAGTCCGAGGTGTGGCTCCACGAGCCTGCATCTGTCTAAGCTAGCTTTACAGGCGTCCCGCTACCCACGTCCCTTCCGCAGATGCTGTCTGCGGGACTGGATAGGAGCCCCGCGCGCGGTGCCCCGGCCCCCGACTCTGGGTGGAGGCCCTGTCTATGTGGAGTGGGCCTGGACTGGTGCACCCACGTGTGGATCTCAGCGGAGCGCTCCTCCCACGGCCCTCCCGTGAGTCTTCCGTGGAGAGCTGGGGGCGGGGTAATGAATGGGACGGATGCGGCTAGCGACTTCAGCTGCTGCGTAGTCGTCCCCTGGCTGAGGGTGGCGGAGGCAGGCGCTGTGGCTTCTGATTCTGGTGGGCATAGGATTGATGTTCCGAGGGTGCACACGTGCGCGGGGAGCTGTGTGTGGTGTTTGGAGGCGGGTTGCGTGTGTCACGTGGACACAAGAGTGTGCCTGTGTACGTGGGGGGGTGCGTTTCAGGATGGAGTGGTGTGTGAACATCGGTCACGAGGATATAGGTTACATGTCAGGGAAGGGGTGTGTGTTTGTCTTGAGGATGTTGCAGTGTGAGCAGAGCTTGCTGTCCCATGCCCTGGGTCCTAGGACTGTGTTGCAGTGAGTGCCTCTTTGCCTTGGCCAGGTTCAGGATATGAGAGAAACACACAGCTTGTGTCCTTGAAAATCCTAGGGAAAAGGAAGGGCTAGGCCTTCTGCACATCTTTGTCTCCATCCAACACACACTGCACAGGTCAGGGTGTTCTAGACCCACACACTTCAGGGACCCCACTACTTGCTCCTCGGTCCGTCCATGCTCAGTCCTCACAGCAAGAGTGGAGTTCGACTTGAATCTCATGCAACAGAATTGTTCCACTGTTTAAGACTCCTCTGGTGTTGGAGGCTTTGTGATTTCTGTCTACAAAGTCCTGCCCAACCCCGCACCAAGCCCTGAGTCCCACTTTGGGAAGGGACGCCCCCCAATCCTGCTTAGTGGTCAAAAAGGAGCATCAGTGTCACCCCCCTCCAGGAACCATCCCTGAGGCCAATGCAAATGGACTGTTGCTTCTCTCCAGATGTATCCTCCCCCAGGGACCTCTCCCACAGAGCAAGCACCTACCCACCTCAGGGCACTTGCTTCTATGGGCCAGTCTAGAGATGCTCCTCCCCAGAGGTCCACACTGTGTCCTGCCTTACTCCTTTCATAGCGCTTAGATCTTGCGTCTGAAAATAAGTCCTCCCTGCACTGAATCAGTTTTCTCCTGTCGTCTTATTCCTGCTCTGTCTTGACGCAACGGCTGTCTTCCTAGGGAATCCAACGTAACCTATCTTATATTCATTACTAGCCTTCTTACTTGTTGCTTCCGGCCTCTGCCAGAAAGCAAATGGTGAGATCAGGGGCTTTGTCTTTTGGGTTCCCTGGTTTGCCTCCTAGTATGTATGGATAGTTGGAACAGGACTGTGTGACTCTGGATTTGCATGTCAGGAGTCAGTGTGCCTGTCTGTTCCCCAGGTCCTAAGGCCCTTGAAGAACTACTGGCAAACTCCGAACATATTTGCATGTTAGATATCCTCCCACTAGCAACCGGTGTCGAGGGGGGAATGGGATATGAATCAGGAGGTAGGGAGACCCCCCAGGAATAGTGAAAAGACAGTGGAGGTCAGAAGCTGGCTGTTTTAGTACCACATCTGTGCTGTTTAGGTGGTTCGACTTAGTGAGCTCAGCCAGCCAGCAGTGGGGAGTTCAAAGAGTCATCTCAAAGGAGGTGATGTCTGAACTGGTCTTCAGGCAGTGAAGCCAAGGGAGGAGTGTTCCCGGCAGAAGGCACAGCTTTTGCAAAGGCCTGGTGACACGGAGTCTTCAGTTCAGGAAGCTTGAAATGATGGGATGCAGCCAGAGTGGAGAGTGGGTGCTGAAGGAGGTGGGGGGGAGTAAGAGAGGGAGAGGAGGGGGAGCTAATCCCTCTGACTCCTGCCTTTATGGGCCAGGTTCTATGAGAACTGGGGAAATTATTCCCACTTCTGTGATGGGGATGATGCTGAGCCGGATGGGTCCCTGATGGAGCTGAGCTACCCAGGAACAGAGGGGAGGCACTCTCTGGAAAGAGGGTGGAGGCTCAGAGCTGGCATGGAAGAGGCGTCCCACAGATGTCAGTTTCCACAGGTGGGCCAAGGGATGCCTTGAGGACAGCTGCAGAGGGGGAGGCACGAGCCCACCTGGCTGTCCGGGGATCCCCAGAGGTAGTGAGAGGATGATCCTCACAGAGGCATCCTTGAGTATGACTTGGCACCAGACTCCTGGGTCTCCCCTACGGGAACTGAGTCATCCTGGCAGGGGCGGGAGCTACAGAGGCCACCACTGCCAGAGCCATCGGACAGGCTCCAGCGAATCGTCCCTGAGATGTCAGGACCACTTTGGTGTGTAGCACACATGGCTACTACCCCTCGCGCCACCACCCCCAGTCCTTTGTGACCAGGGTTACTCATCTTCTGCCCGGATGGTAATTGGTCCCTGGTTCAGCCTGGCTCTGGAACATTCTAACAGAACTCAGAATGAGATCTGAAGTTACTGTAGATAGGGCTGCTTGAGCCAGTGTTGGTGACAGCAGGGTCTACTTGTTCTTTCCTCTTCTGGCCTCTGGTGAGGGACCTAACTGGATGGGGCGCGTCCTCAGAAGCAGGTCAGACGAAGTGGGCTTCTGAAGCCAAGGGCTTGTGTTCATGGGAGTGGCAGACTTGTGGAGGGTGGGGTGCAGCGTCCAGGAGAAGCCTGAGCTGGGCCAGTCTCTAGCCTCTTCGAGTATATTCTCTCTGGTCAGACACAGGTCCTCATGCACACAGCACAGCACAGGCCAGGCACAAGGCCCCGTCTCCTGGACACTTGGCAGGAACTTTGGGCCTCCCTTGCTGCTTCCCTCCAGCCAAGCCCTGCTTAGTCACCTGAATTTGATCCAGGCAAGAGGGAGGCCTGGATGGGAGCCTGACGTCATCTCTCACAGCCTCCTCCCACTGCCACCCTCGCACCCATCTGGGCCCCAGCTCTTCCCATGCAATCACAACTCACTTCTCTAGAGCTTGTTAGCGGCAGGCAAGCGCTATTCTGTGTCCCTAACAGGCTTCTTTATACCTCACAACCACGTGAGAGTGAGACTTGCCTTGTGGTGCGTTTCACTGGTGAGGAACACCCAGTTATCGGCCCTTCCCACCTCTAAGAGCCAGGAAGTGGGCAGCCTGGCATCCCAGCCTGGGTACCCAGTCAGGTAATAGTCTTTAGATGAGAGCAGGAAGGCTTCTGCACCCACTTGCTGTGTGACCCCAGGGTCATCTTTACCCCATCGAGGAAAGGATTGTGACCTTTTAGGAGTTGTCACCCGAGGGAAATTATATGCAGATGTTATGGGCCAGGGCAACCTGTGGTTTGTGTCCACTGGGGGCTCCCCTGAGAGCAGAGGGCGGGAACTTCTGACTGTCTTCTATCCCCTGATGTGGTCTGCTGCCCGAGGCTGGCTGGGGTTCCCTCACTGAGGCTGCTTTCCCATCCATGTAATGGGAGAGGGCTGTAGAGATCACTATGGCGACCACTTGTATTCAGCAAATATTTATCAAGCTCTTATGTGCCAGTCGTAAGTGATCTTATGGAGACGAAGCAGACTGAGAACTAATCTCGGCGCTTAGGTGGGGAGACTTGCCCTATGGGGAATGGAAGAGGGGGTGGAGGGGGAGTCAGGCTTGGGGAGGCTCTTCTCAGCCTTGAAGCCCCTTCCCTCTTCACCTCTTCCAGGGAGGCGTCTCAGAGCTTCCCCACCCTGTTCCTTTCTTCATGCCAGAAACAGCTGACTCTGCTGCCTCCTGGCACCCAGTCACTCAGCACACATGGTCCCAAGCAGAGGCTCTGATCCTCGCCCTGTTACAGTCTACCTCCAAGTCTGATGGTAGCCAGGGCAGCTAGGGAGGCACAGCATCCACAGTACAGGGTGGGGAGCCTGGTTTGCCCCAGACCGGTGGCAGCTTGGTAACAGAGGTGGCTTCCCGACCAGTGGCTAGGGCATCTCAGTCAGCCCTACCACCTTGACGGCATTCACAGTCAAGGATGGAGAGCCAAAGGTTCTCTGAGTTGCAGTCAGGATAGCGGAAGTCACCAACAGACAGGAAGGGCAGGGGTTCAGGAGTCCACTTACTTCCTTTTCTGAAAAGATGCAGAGTGAGGCCCAGGAGGGAGCATTGGGTAGAGGTGGAGCCAGAATGTGGGCTGTGGCAGAGATGGTTGTCCTACTCTGAGAGGAAGTCAGGGTTTAGCCAGGGCCAGTGTGGAGCTAACTGTCATGGCTGAGGTGAGGGGTGGGCCTGAGGCTGGGTGTTGACTTGAGGTTCAAGCTAGGACTGCTGCTAGGTGTTTTAGCTGGTTGGGGACAGAAACTGCAGTAGATGCAAGGTGTGTGTAAAGTCAGACCCGGGAGCACCTCGGCCCCAGCAGAGCAGCCATAAGGGACATTTTGTCATATTGACATGCTGGAAGAAAAACAGGAGGAATGCAGAAGCTGCACTAGTGTCTTGTGTGGCAGACCCGCCCCTCGTGTTCCCTCTTCTGGGCTGGAAGCTCTACTGGGGCAAGGAGGTGAATGATCGGATTTGCCTTGGGGTCTTGAAGATAATGAGAGGAGGAGTCAGAGGCCTGAGACCTCAGGAAATGCTCTTGAAAACAGTGAGAGGGACTAGAGTGAAGGTCTGGGACACCCAGGGGGGCATTCCTGGAGGAGGTGTCTGGGTCTGCAGCTCCGATGCCCATCCTTCTAGGGGACTGTACTGTAATGCTCTGCCAGTAAGCATGGTGACCGGTGAATCATTGGGCTGCCCATATGGCTGGGGCTGAACTGACCTGGGACTCTGTACCTTAGTGTGACTAGGCCTCCAGGCCTGCCATATCTACCTGTCTTGACTGCAGAGTCACTTTTGTTGCACTTCTCTGTGAAGCCATCATGGCAGAAGTGACTGCGTCTGTTTTACAGGCAGGGCCACTGGGAGCATCTGAGCCAGGTGAGCTACTAGGAAGCCCTGGGTTTATGTGCTAGCAAGCCAGGCCAAGGGAAAATCTGGGAGGTAGATCTATCGCACTGTGGTTATAGTGGGAAAGGGTCTTGGCCCAATCCGCTTGGCTGGCCAGGAGTGACACTCCCTCCTCTCTCAGGTTCCCAGCAAGGTTATAGAGAGAACCCACTGACTGAGGTGATGGAGAGTGGCCCGGCTGTCTGCTGTCAGGACCCTCGGGCAGAGCTGGTGGATCGGGTGGCAGCCATCAATGTGACCCACTTGGAAGAGGCAGATGAGGGCCCAGAGCCTTCCAGGAATGGTGTGGACCCTCCGCCCCGCGCCAGAGCTGCCTCTGTGATCCCTGGCAGTGCTTCAAGACCCATGTCAGTGCGGCCCAGCCTCTCTGCTAGGAAGTTCTCCCTGCAGGAACGGCCAGCCGGAAACTGTCTAGAGGCCCAACCTGGGCCTTACTCTACAGGACCTGCCACTCACATCTCTCCTCGGGCCTGGCGGAGACCCACCATCGAGTCCCACCGTGTGGCCATCTCAGACACGGAGGTTGGTGAGATGGAGTTAGGTAGGAGTTGTTCATGGGCCTGCCAGGAAAGCCTAGGGTTTTTTCCTACCGTCTGTCCCATATACTTAGCTTTCTTTGGTTTGCATACTTGGAGAGCTGAGAAGCTCACTACCCAGCGGCAGGGCTTCTTCCTATCCAGGAAGGCCATCTGAAGCAATAGCTACTTCCTGCCTTCTTCCCGCCGTCAGCTCAGGCATAGGACCCTCTCTTGCTCCTAAGCAGCCTTCTTAGAGCTTTGGAAATAGATCATGTACATCCCTACCCTTCATCATCCCACGCATGAGCCAGGAGTCATAACCCTGCCTCCAAGAGTGCTCTAACTTAAAAGCTGCAGTGTACTTCCAGTTTCTGGTGTTACATGAGCTTGACTTTGAATGTGAACTTGGGTAGTTGATGGGAGCATAGCATAGCTAGGGCCTCACCCTTCATATTTTTACATATTACCCCAGGCTTCTTGTCTCTCATGGTGTTAATGCTACCCTCCAGCCTTCCCTGATCCAAACTTGAAAGGCTGGTGAGAGACTGGGCCCTGAACAGTCTCCCAAGATGGGAGTGCTGTTGTATCTGAATCTTGATGCTCCCCTTCCCCCTAGGACTGTGTGCAACTGAACCAGTACAAGCTGCAGAGCGAGATTGGCAAGGTAGGACCTGGGTAGGATGGAGGTGGGGCTGCAGACGATCTCTGAGCATCTTTCTTTCCCTCTGATGGAACTGGGGAACAGAGCCAAGAACGCCCAGCCTGACTGGGAGATCACCAGAGGAGGGTGGAGATAACTTCTGACTCCTGACTCCCAGGGTTCTTGATGGAGATTAGGGGAAACAAGAGGCTATATGGAGTTGTGAGGCAGGGGTAGTTCCCGGGGCACAGGGGTTCCTTCCTCATCTCTGGGAAATGTGAACCCAAGAACTAGATGGTAGGAAATAGGGTGGGATTGGGGTGCAAAGGCTGGGACCAGAGCTGTCAGGCCTGCCATTTCCTGAGCTAGACCCAGAAAGAAGTGTTTTGTGGAACTGACCAGTGGCTGTCTGCAGGGTGCCTACGGTGTGGTGAGGCTGGCCTACAACGAAAGTGAAGACAGACACTATGTGAGTGTGGGGCTGGGAAAGGCTGCTGCCCAGGTAGGCCCCCGAAGCCTGGGGAGTAGGCAGATGTGCTGGGGAAAGGGGCTAGGACTTCCTCTTATGGGGTGTTCCTATTCCTGGATGTGCTAAAGGAATGAGCTTCCTGTTCCTTGGGGGTATGCAAGCAGAGGCTAGATTCCTCTAAGGGAGAACAGGGCCAAGGCCCAGACTCAGCTGTGGCATAAGCAGACACATACCTGGCCACATGCTTATTGCCAATGGCATCTGCCATTGTGCCCATCTGGACTATGGTCCCCATATAAACCAGCCTTTCCTAGCCCCCTGGAGGCTGTACGAGTGATGTCTCTGTTCCTTTTTCCATAGGCGATGAAAGTCCTTTCCAAAAAAGAAGTTACTGAAGCAGTATGGCTTTCCTCGTATGTATACCTTGTCCTTGGGAGCTGCTAGGCTGGGGGCAGAGGAGGAGGGAATGGTGGGGATGGAGGGTAGGAAACAGGAGCAGTGGCCTGGGAATGGGCTAGCCTTGGTGAGCTGGAATGAGATCTCAGCCTTGTGGGAGTCTTTCTTCTGGACCAATGCCTTCACTTACGTTTTGGTCACAGGCCGTCCTCCCCCTAGAGGGTCTCAAGCCACCCAGGGAGGACCAGCCAAGCAGCTGTTGCCGCTAGAGCGTGTGTACCAGGAGATTGCCATCCTAAAAAAAGCTAGACCACGTGAACGTAGTCAAATTGATCGAGGTAGGAGGGATGGCAAAGGTACTGGAGCTTGGTGGGTGGGTGGGTGGGAGGGTGGGGCGAGTGTTCAGCCTACCAGGGCCTAGGGAACAGGAATGGGTGAGTCCCTGGAGACAGATCAGCCTTTTGGGTATCAGAAGCAGTTCAAACTGGTCTGTAGTGTTCTTGCTGAAGGTGAGGGGCAGTCCTGGAGGTAACTGTGAATCCCTTCTCCATCACAGGGGAAGAAGGACCCAGTGTTATGTGGGGGAGGGCATCAGTGACACCGAGGCCCCTCTCTTGGTACCTGTACAGTTAGTTCCTGCTCTGTGTCCAGGGTGGTTGCAGGGCATAGTAGAGATCTTGGGTCAGGAAAGGACAGGAGGCCTGGGTTCTCCAACCCCATTCCTCCTCAAGTCCTGTGCCCACGTCTGCTCCTTCTGATCAGGTCCTGGATGACCCTGCCGAGGACAATCTCTATTTGGGTGAGTGACCCTGCTTATTCTCACTGAGGGCTGGTTCCAGTGAGGGCTCCCCAGGGACACACAGGATGTCCAGGTAGCCATGTCCATGCACTGACCTCCTGGATTCTCAAGCTCTGGATTCCCGTGTGCAGCGCTGCAGAAGGAGACTTAGATCAGTCAGAGTCAGTGACTACTCTGGGCCCCACTCCCTGCCCCGACCCAGTCCCAGTCAGTGTGGTTTATACTCAGTAGGAACAAGAAGCTGGCTGAGTCATGAGCTTGGCGTCCCTGCCTCAGTTTCTCACTTATAAAATGGGATAATAGGGTTGGGAGTATAACTTGGCGGTAGAACCCTTGCCCAGCATGCTTGGGAAATATGGTAGTTATAATAATAAATGAGATAACGGTGGCATGTATCTCATAGGTTTGATGTCAGGAAATGTATACATTTGTAATTATCCTTATTAATATGAAAGTTATTATTTAAGTTCCTTATCCTGAATGATGATTAGGCTTTTTCTGGAGGCGGTTCGGAGAAATGGGATAGGAGGGGTAGAGGTGAAGCTCTAGAGAATGCCCAGCATGAGCAAAACCCTGTGTTTCTGTTCATCACGGAAGGGGGCAGGGCCAGAGAGCTGGCTTAGGCATCGAGTGCAGGAACTCGGGGCCCCCTGGGAAAGGGGTCCATGCTGTCATTCTCACATGGATCAGGTCAAGCAGGCCCACGGCCAGCCCACTCCCATCTGTCCTGTCCCCCTGCCCCTCCCCTCGCCAGAACAGGGAGGGACCTTGGCACTGGTAGTCCTGCAGCCTTACAACACCTTCCCTTCTCTTCTTTTCTTTCAGTGTTTGACCTCCTGAGAAAGGGGTGAGTTCCCCGACCCAGTCAGGCAGGTCATTTCTAATCCAGGTCTCCCTATCCTCCCCTTTGTCTCCCTGCCCAGGGGCCAGCTAGTATAAGAGAAAGCAGAGCTGTGCACCTGCCCTCGGGAACTCTTGCCTCAGGGGTAAATAAGAGACCCGGGACTATTCTATGAAGGCTGGTGGGGGATGTGGAGGCCGGGGCAGGCTGGGAGAGGGATAGGCTTTGAGCCTGACCTTGAAAAACTAGGAAGATATCGAATGGAAGGTGGGGAAGGAATGTTTCCAGGCCAAAGTATAGATAGGGGATATAATTCATACTTGTATTTAAATCACCAAGGATTCTTAGCTTACTACCAACTCATGATTATGGGAGGGAAAAGCCAAGACTAGAGAAGGGAAGTAGCCTGCCTAAGGTCACACAGCAAGTTGTTGCTGAAGCCTGGTGTTCTAACACAGCCCTGTTTGATCTATCAGAACATTTGCAGAGCAGCTGACATAGACTAGTGGGCTCAGGACCCAAACCCCTTACTGCCGATCCTCAAATGAAGCTGTGAACCATCCCTTTTCTGGTGCTTTCATGCAAGACTATTGAAAAACAACAACAGCATTCAAAACAAGAAGTAGGGACTAAGCCTGTAGCTGAGCTGGTAGAGTCCCTAGCTTGTGCCAAGGCAGAAGGGTTCAGTCCCTAGCACTGCATAAAACCAAGGATGGCGACTAACACCTGTAATCAGGAACTGGAGGCAGGGGGATCAGAAGTTCAAGGTCATCCTTAGCTACACAGTGGATTCCAGGTCAGCCTGGGCTATGTGAGACCCTGTTTCAAAACAACAATATGTAGTTATTTTTTTTGTTTTGTTTTTTTTGAGACAGGATCTCACTATTTAGACTTGACTGAACTTGAAACCCTGTTACCTGCCTCTGAAGTACTGGGATTACAGGCACTTGCCATAACACTAGGATGGGTTTTGGTTTGTTTGGTTTTTTAATTGTTGTTGTTTTGTTTTGAGACAGGGTTTCACTATGTAGCTCTGGCTGCTTAGAACTTGCTGTATAAACTAGGCTGGCCTCAAAGTCACAGAGATCCTCCTGCCTCTGCCTCTTGAGTGCAGGAGTTAAAGGTTTTAAAAAATAAAAGTTTATATTGTTATCCATATCTGTGACTGATAATCTAGAACAGTATATAGATCTTTTTTATATGCTATACATTCTGAAACATTATATTTCAATAGAAAAAGAAAAACAGACCCTACCTGATTGATTTCATGACTCTTGGTCCTGGGTCCACCGTTTTAAAGCTATTGACTTCAATGGCACCTTTGTAATTGTTTGGTTAAACTTAATTCTTGCAAGATCTACAAGCCATTGGAAATAGAGATAAAGCTGCCTTGAAAATATGATTGAAAGGGGATAGATAGGCCACAGCTTTTTGACATATGAGGGAAGTTATTATCTTGAGTTCTCTGAACCCATGAGCACCAAGTTCACTGAAGGGCCTCTGTTCCCCACTCCTGCAGCCATCTCTACTCCTGATTCTGCTGAACAGCCATCCTCCTTCCCCACAGGCCCGTCATGGAAGTGCCCTGCGACAAGCCCTTCCCGGAGGAGCAAGCTCGCCTCTACCTGCGGGACATCATCCTGGGCCTCGAGTATTGTGAGTGAGACTGCCTGCCCACTGGGACTGGAGCCGGAGGACATAGAGCATGCTGTGGCCACGCTAAACAGCCCCTGAGCCCTTCCTGCCACTCAGCGCTGGTCTACCAATCACCTTTAGTGGAGATGGGGGCGGGGAGGTATGGGCGGAGCCATAGCCGACTTCGTTGGGCATGCGCTAGGTCCTTCGCCGTGTACTGCTTTCACCACTGCGTGTCTCTGGGTGTTCTTTCTTTCTTGGTCTTTTCTGTTGGATTCTATCCAAGCGTCCCTTCTCCGCAGGGCGTCAGGAAATGTGGGACGGAAGAGATCTGTGTCCTGCTGTTTAGGGAAGAGTGTGTCCTGGAGTGATGCCTGTGGTGATGGTAGGGTGGGTTTAGCTGTGAGGAGCCCTAAGGCAAGAGCTCAGAGGCGCTAGCTTCTGTGCTAGAAGTACATTCATTTATTCATTTGTTCCATCCATTCACTTCACTCAGTTATGTACACCCACCTGAACCACCGATGATGGTCTAGGGCCAGGGACCTCTGCCCAGGAGCACCGGTGCAGGGCAGGCTTTCTGAGAGAGGGATTTCCCCAGCCAGCTTTGAGGTTCAGTGGTGGGAGAATCAGGCAGAGGCAAGAGAGGAACTCAGATGTGCTGTTTGAAGACCGGCGCTCAGTCTGGATGCCGCATCCAAGAGGCAGGGCCTGGTGGCTAATGGACAGTGGTCTGGAACTCCGTTCGGACCTCACATTGAGGGCTGGAAACACCTCTGAGGAAGACTTTCTGACTAAATCCTGTCCATATTGTGAGGCCCTGAGGGGCTCGTAGCAGGGAAGGCCGGACAGGATTTGCTTCTTAGAAAGCTCTGTCTGGCAGCTGTGTGGTGACTGGATAGGGTGTGAGAGGCAGGCAGCTGGCCAGGGGCAGGCTATTTCCACAGCTCAAGTGACAGATGGTGGGGTCAGGATTAGGGCAGTAGCGATGGGATGTGAAGGAGGTGGGGTGGCCAGCATGGGGTGACTGCTGGTCTAGAAGAGGACGGCCCTGGAAACCTAGGGTTCTGGCCTGAGTTGGGGGGCGGGGGTGGTGTCCATCCCTAACATCTTAGTTGGACTTGCTGTGAGCAAATTCTCCCTCCCTAGGTGAGATGTGACCTACGGTGAGTGACGTGGGCATCTTTATACTGCTGAGCCTCCCTAGTGTCTTCAGATTGATGCTCTCTTTGTATACGTGGGGAAACTGAGGCACACAGAGGAGAATGTTTAATAGTAGACGCCAGTGATGATCTATAGTATAGGAGGGATGGATACATCTACCCTTGGTTTGTTGGTCTAGTCAGCTGTAGGAACTGCTCTTCCTGAGCTTGACTCCACCCTCTTCCTTTTCTGGGTTCTTCCCCTCTGCTGAGGGCCCGCCTGCCCTCTCTCCTAACACCACTCCAGAAGCTAATCTAGGGTTCTAGGTTACAGCCTCCTTCAAGCCCAGATGGTCCTAATGAAGGGCAGCTTTGGGGTACGTGTTAGCACCATGGGCTGGACAGCTGGAAGGAGAGCCCCAAAGACTTGTCGTTCTGGTCTTGTGGAGGGGCAGTTGGAGCTGGTCAGAAAGGCCCCTATGATGGGGGCAGGCACATTAAGATAGACTGGTCTCTTTCCCGCTGTCCCTCTGGAGGGGCAGACAGGACTTTTCCTGCCTCTCTTTTCTCTCTCTTCTTCTTCCCCCCTCTTTCTCTTCTTTCCCTCCCCCTCCCTTCCCTTTCTAATAAAACTTCTCAATTAAAAAAAGACACTGAGATGCAGCACACATGTACATGCACACTTGAGCACATTTTCTTTCTCTTTAACTTAGGTGTCACTATGTAGCCCCTAGGCTGGCCTCCAACTCCTTATCTGTCTTTTAAGTACCTCAGAGTATGGTGGATGACAGTGTGTACCACTATAATCAGCTTGGATTATTTTCACCTTGGGCTCCCATGGCTGCTTCCTCTGAGGCCGAGAGGAGGAGCTAAGGTGGTCTTTAGGATCAAGAAACAATAGGGGAAGAACATGGGTTTCTCTTTTCCTTTCCTTTCCTTTCCTTTTTTGAGACAGGGTCTTGCTATATAGCCTAGGCTGGTCTAGAATTTGCAATCCTCCTGTCTCAGCTGACATTATAGGCATGTATCACTCTACCTGGCTAGAACAGGAGTTTTCTGTTTTGCTGATGATGGGGGTTGTAGATAATGCCAAGTTCTGATACTGAGATGTATATCTGTTGGACATCCAAACGCAGAGCCCGAGTTTCCTGACTTCCCTCCTCAGCAGGAAGTGTGTTGTTTGTTGTGGAAAAAGCACTGCTCTTGGAGTCCAAAGACTTCTAAGAGTCTCCTCAGTGTCTTCACTTGCATAATGGAGCAGATGGCTCCATTGTCATCTTTTGAGGTTCTCTCAGAAGAGTGGCCGTAGGCCGGGATGCAATAGCTTGCTTCCTAGACTGGGTGAAGGAGAGAGAGTGGGACCCTGGGCATTGATCCCCCAGACTTGCATATCACCTGCTTCTCTCTGTAGTGCACTGCCAGAAGATTGTCCACAGGGACATCAAGCCATCCAATCTACTCCTCGGGGACGATGGGCATGTGAAGATCGCCGACTTCGGGGTCAGCAACCAGTTCGAGGGGAACGATGCTCAGCTGTCTAGCACGGCAGGGACCCCGGCATTCATGGCCCCCGAGGCCATTTCTGATTCTGGCCAGAGCTTCAGTGGGAAGGTGACTCTCAGGGCCTGGCTAGGTTGGGGTTCGGGTAGAGGGATAGAACAGCTTGCAATGGGGGACCACTTTGCAAGCTGAGGGGTCTAGGCTTCTTTCATTTGGATAGCAGCATGATTGCCTCTTCCCTGGAGCCCAGCTGTGGCTTCTCTCATTTCCTAGCAAATGGTTCCAATCTCACTTGTATCTGTTGCTGCTGGTGGTCTGTGTGGGGCTCTGTGCTGGACTGTGGGACAGGCAGAACCAAAATAGTCCCATTCATATCCTTCTGCATGGTGATGAGGGCTACAAGTCACAATTCGAGGACAGTGGAGGCTTCCTCAGGTCCTGGACGTGGCAGGGTCTAGACAGGGTCATGAAAAAAGAGAATGAGGAGAAGATTGAGAGACATAGGGATGGATGCATTTAGACTTTCATGTGGCCAATGGTATAGATGCAGCCTAGCACCAAAATGTAAGTTTAACTTACAACAGGGTATGTGTGTGTGTGTTTGTGTTTGTAATTTGGTTGCATGGTGTTCTACTGTCATTATTGTAGATGTGCTACAATGTCAACCATGCCTGTGCCTGATATATAGGCTTTGAACTTTTTTTAAAGGATTTATGTATTATGTATACAGTGTTCTGTCTGCATACCAGATCTCGTTATAGATGGTTGTGAGCCACCGTGTGGTTGTTGGGAATTGAACTCAGGACTTCTGGAAGAGCAGCTGCTGCTTTTCACCTCTGAGCCATCTCTCCAGCCCCAGCTGGGCTGGGTGCATAGCTCAGTGGTAGAACATTTTGTGCTCTCTCTCTCTCTCTCTCTCTCTCTCTCTCTCTCTCTCTCTCTCTCTCTCTCTCTCTCTGTGTGTGTGTGTGTGTGTGTGTGTGTGCGTGCGTGCGCTGGGGTTCTTCTTTTCCCAACTGTAAAACAAAAAGGATTTTCATTATTGCTATAATTCTAAATTCACTGAAAAGTTATAAGAATAGCATAAAGGAATACCATATAACTTATAAAATCAGTAATGTTTTGAGTGTTTGGTTTGCATATGTATCAGTGCATTGAGTGTGTGTGTGTGTCTGGTGCCAGCAGAGGCCAGAAAGGGTGTTGAATTCCCTGGAAATGGAGAGACAGAGAACTGTGAACCACCATGTAGGTGCTGAGAACTGAACCCACATTTCTGGAAGGGCAACTAGTACTCTTAACCACTGAGTCATCTCTCCATTCCCCCCCTCCCATGTAATGCTTTTTCTTTTTCTTTTTTTTTTTTTTTTTGGTTTTTCAAGACAGGGTTTCTCTGTGGCTTTGGAGGCTGTCCTGGAACTCACTTTGTAGACCAGGCTGGCCTCGAACTCACAGAGATCCACCTGCCTCTGCCTCCCAAGTGCTGGGATTAAAGGCGTGCGCCACCAACGCCCGGCTCATGTAATGCTTTTTCATTGTCTTTATGTTTCTGTATATTTCTATTATATTTTTATGAACCATTCAGAAGTTCACTTGGAGAGAGTATCTCTTTATGTACTTTAGTGGCTTTCCTAAGAGGGAGGACATTCTTTTATATAATCTCAGTACAATGACCAAGGTCAGGAGTTTATCAGTGATAAGACTGTTCTATAACACATTGCACATATGTAAATTATTATGACATGGTATTGAAATGTTATCAGCTTGCCTGGTGGTTTTGTTGTTGTTTGTTTTGTTTCGTATTTCTTTCCTGATCCCTGAGGTCATCCATCAGGCTCATTTGTCACATCTCCTTAGAGTCTTCTTATCTAGAGGAGCCCCCTCCCCTTTTTCTGGTGTGAAAGGTGGGGACATGCTGCCCTAGAACTTGCTGTGTAGCTGAGAATGACCTTGAACTAGTGATTCTCAAGCAGCTTCCTCCCAAGGGTTGGCTTTACAGACAGGCTGTCTTGTGTTCTTCCCAGCCTCCAGCTTCTTGGCCTTTCTCTGTCATTCTGACCTTGATGTTTTGAAAAGCAGCCTGCTGCCCTGTAGTTTACACTTGTCTAGTGTTCCCTGGTTGGATTCTAATGACGATGGTAGTGGTGATGATGATAATGCTGATGGTTGTCTGTGTCAGGGGCTGCACACATGAGGAGCCCCACCTGGGCCTGAGAGGAGTTGTAAGTGGGCATGGAGACAGGGTGGGCAGGGGTTGCCTCTGACATTGGAAGCAGTTGCACAGTAGCTGAAATGAGAACCTCTGGAAACCAGAGCTAGTTATTGAGCGCTAGTTCAATACATACTGCTATTTTGGGAGAGCATCTGTGTCGTGGAGGCAGCGGATGACCACGTGGATTGAAATGTGGCTTGGAACCTGCTGAGTTTGAAACCATGTCTGTTTTGGGCTTGTCCCTAGAAAGTCTACAATCCCAGGAGTGTTGCAGTTTTGTTCTGGCCATCACTGTGATAGCCCACCCCCGGGCTCAGCACAGGGCCCATCCTAGAGCAAGCCCAGGGAGTGTTTGTTGATAAATGCCTGCCTGGGGAAGGTGGGTCCCTGCGGGGCTCTTCCATAGCCTGGTAAAGCTGGGTGGGGATGGGAAGGGGTTGAGGTGGTAGAAGTGCCGTGTTTACTGACGTGAGCATGTTTCTTTGTAGGCCTTGGATGTATGGGCCACCGGGGTCACCTTGTATTGCTTTGTCTATGGGAAGGTGAGTCCTGAGGAGCCTACAGAACTGACTCTGACTGGATTAAGGAGCCAGGAGTGACAGATGCGGGGCCTTCTTTTGTGTCCCTAGACAAAATGGCTTTTGAAAAAGTCCACCTGGGCCAGGAAGGCTGAAGGAGGAGAGGCCTTTTGTCTTTCTTTCTCCCCTTGAGGGGTGGGGTGGGGGTATAGAGTCCTGGGACAGCATATATCTGAGAGGAGGTGACAGAGGTGTTGCTTCCTCTCTCCGTGAGCCCTGCCCCCCCCATGCCATTCATTCCTTCATTCACTCAATAATTTGTTCAAATTGTTGGGTCTTGGGGACCTCTAACACTGACGTGATCAGGATTCCTGCCCTCAGGTGCTTTGCCTCTGGTGACCGCACTGCCCACCAGACCCTGGGAGAGTGAAGGCTTTGCTGCAGGCAGCTTGAGTGCTGGTGGCAGATGCAGCCAGCCTCGTTCTCTAGTGACTCATCTGCTCTGTTACTTTTGCTGAACCCTTGCTGTGTGCTCTGGCCCTTCCCATCTGCTGGGGTGGGGGTGGAGCATAAGCTGCCTGCTGCCCCTGACCACCTGAGGTGTGGATCAAGGCCTACATCCTGTCTGTCTCTCCTTCCCACAGTGCCCATTCATTGATGAGTACATCCTGGCCCTTCACAGGAAGATCAAGAATGAGGCCGTGGTGTTCCCTGAGGAGTGAGTTAGCCATGCAGGGGACCATGGAAGCTCCCATCCACTCCTGGGGAGGGTATCTGAACTTTGAGAGCTCTGGCCCTGTTAGGGTTCCATTTTAGCCTTCAGAGTTATGTGGGGGTATTGATCCCTGGGAGGGGCCAGAGCAGATGGAGGACCTCATCTTTCCATTTGAGGAAAGTGGTTATGGTTATTCCTGGTCCCAAGGGGGAGAGAAAGGGACCCTCATCAATGGTGGCATCCTCATCTCTTGCCTTCCCTCTTCCTAGGCCAGAGGTCAGCGAAGAGCTCAAGGATCTGATCCTGAAGATGCTAGACAAGAACCCTGAAACAAGAATCGGGGTGTCCGATATCAAGGTGGGTCTTGGCCAAGGTCCCAGTGCCCCTTCTGGAGGGACCTGCAATGGGACATGTGTGTTGGGTTTGGGGTTTGAGGATTGAAGAGTCCTTCAAGGTCAATGCTGGGGATGCTTGGGTACCCTTGCTGGTTATGTCTGTATGCCTATGACCCGACACCTCCCCATCTCCTGGGCTCTACAGTTACACCCTTGGGTGACTAAACATGGAGAGGAGCCCCTCCCTTCAGAGGAGGAGCATTGTAGTGTGGTGGAGGTGACTGAGGAGGAGGTGAAGAACTCAGTCAAGCTCATCCCCAGCTGGACCACTGTGGTAAGAGAGTGAGGGGCGGGGCTCTCTTGTCCTAGAAGTGTGTGGCCACTGCCTGGGACCTGCTCTGCTCTTGGCCTTTGTAGGTACAGTGGGGGGGCATCAGGTTGGTCAGTCACAGTCCAGGGGCCTTGGAAGCCCTGCTCTTTTAGAGTGGAATGGCAAAAGGTCACCTTATTCAGTTGTGGCAGAGACCTGAGGCTTGGTGAGAGCCATAGCAAGAAGAAGCAATTCCTCGCGTTCACGCATTCAGTGAACTGTTGCTGTTCCCTAGGTCCCACACTGGTGGCTAGGCATGACAGTGAAAGGCCAGGAGACCTGGTTCAAGGCCCCACTGTCGGTTAGACCACACCCTACCCCCAGAAGCTGCCTGCTTGCCTAGGCTGGGCCTGGGTGTTCATGCTTGTTCTCCATACCAACTTGTGCTCCCCAGATCCTGGTCAAGTCCATGCTAAGAAAGCGTTCCTTTGGCAACCCATTCGAGCCCCAAGCACGCAGGGAAGAAAGATCCATGTCTGCTCCAGGAAATTTACTGCTGTAAGTACAGTGGTTTGAGGCCTGTGGACCACTGTGGATTGAGATGTGGCACTGAGGCGCATCGCTGACTTGTACTAGTGCGGAACTGTCCCAAAAGCCTGGAGATATGGCCCAGTTTCAGAGCAGGGCCCATTTGCACCCCTGTCCAGTCCCCGTGTCCTTCACGCACACGCTGAAGGGAAGATCTTTTGGAAGCCTGCTGTGGTCATGCTCTCCTACTGGATCCCACACAGCTCTCTGGCTTCCAATCTGTGCTTCCCTCAGCCCTTGGTAATCAAAAGTCTGCAGACAGATCAGGTCTGCTCCTTACCGAAGACTGGCGTCCGTGGACAGATGGCCCACTCTGTCCACTCTCCCTGCCCCCAGGGGCTCGTGTTATCCACAGCCAGCACGTGGTGTTTGTCCATGTGGACAGGCTGGCTGACCCGCTTGCTAAGGGGTCCCTACTTTGAACCGTATGTATGGGTTCACCACTTTTTGGGAGAAGCCAGAAAAGCAGTTCTTTGAACACTGAGTCTGGCTCCCAGCTTTTCTGCTGTAGTAAAATTCACTTGCCAGTTAGAGTTTGTGCACAGACCTTCAGAGAGAACTGTAAGGCGTCGTGTACCAGAACATCATGGTCCTAGGTCAGTTGGGCACCTCTCTGGGCTGTGAAGGGAGCTCCAGGAAGAAGGACTGTACTTTTGGCTTGCCCTGTGGTAAGGGAGGTGAGCATGGTGCTCTTGGGCCTGCTCTTTCAAGGAGTGTCCTCAGAGTGAGAGGTAGACCTCTCTACAGATTTCCTATCTCTTCTTGAGGGAGTTGAAGGGGGTAGGGACCTAATGCTGGAGTTGCGCCTAATGGATCATATAGAATCTGACAAACTAGGATAGATCTGAGCGTAAAAGGGAGTCTGTCAATGATTATGTAGGAACAACCTGAATCACGATTATGCAGTAAACCGAACATCAGGCCACTCCCGCTCAGTACTTGTATCTGGGCGCCCCCTGGTGGTAGAATGAAGCAGCACCACTTAAGGACAGGTCTAACTTCAGTTTGTTCCCTGGAACTGCGCAGCAAAAACAAGGATAAAATATGTTTTAACCTCACCAAAGATCTTGGGGTCCTCGATAGACCCCATTTTTTCCATTTTGTGGTATTTATTTTTTGGTTTTTATGAGACAGGGTTTCTCTGTATTGTTTTGGAGGCTGTCGGTCCAGCTTGGCCTCAAACTCACAGAGATCCGCCTGCCTCTGCCTCCTGAGTGCTGGGATTAAAGGCGTGCGCCACCACCGCCCAGCCATTTTGTGGTAATTTTAGTCCAATTCCATAAGATTGATCCTTTGGATATTTTTAAAGCCAAGGGTGGGAGTGAGGGTTGCATCATCAGAAGAAATCTGTTGAATAATAGAATTCCAAGACTGATGGTAACTCTGCCCTGTGAACAAGGTGAAGAAAACACAGAATGAAAGGCCTTCTACCCAGTGGGGGCCAGTCAAGGTCAATGTGGAAGACTTTTAACCAGGCTGGTCCTCCTGGGATAGCAGGAAGTCATCTGGGTCAGATCTGAGAGGCTCCTGAGAGGTTTAAATTTCATCCCAGAACAATGAGGAGCCACACAGGGTTGTGGGTCGAGGCTGGGGGCCAGGGGAACTAGTGAGAAAGGCTGCCATGATGGAAGCGATCCTAGGGGACCCGGTGTGGGTGGGGCTGTGAAAGCCATCCGTATGTGGAGTGTGTGAGAATCCTGGTGTACAGGCTCTGGCTCCTGAGATCCCGCTGCCCTGCTGTTTCCTAACAGGAAAGAAGGATGTGGAGAAGGGGGCAAAAGCCCAGAGCTTCCCGGAGTCCAGGAAGATGAGGCTGCATCCTGAGTCCCTGCATGTGCCCAGGGCCATCGGCAGCATGCTCATTCCGCACCTCCAGAGGCCCACCGCCCTCATGCAATAGCCGCCCCTGCAGGCAGGGGGCTGGGGACTGCGGTCCCTCTCCCGCCCCCCCTCCCCCATTGTGCTGCATGACCTGCGCACAGGCACGTCCATGGACAGGATTGGAATGTGTATCATTTGGGGTTTGAGGTTCCTGGTTCTCTCTGTTCTGATCCATCTTGTGGGGAAGTCTGGGGCCCACAGAATATTAGAAACCCTATCTGACTGGCTGGTGAGGCCCAGGTAGAAGGCAAGAGACCATAATGGTAGATGGAGGCCTGGTGGGCTGCATCTCAGAGAACTCCCATAGGGCTAGGTGGGCCTGCCCAGCTGCTGCACCACAAGGAAGGACAATCACCTCACCTCTGTGTGGAAGGTGCTGAGTGCCACTCTGCTCAGATCTCTAGCGTGGATTCTACAAGTTATGACGTATGTCTGGGAGAAGACTGGTTTGCAGAATTCAGATTCCTCTTGTTGTCTCTTACCCGAAGGCTGGGGTGGGAGCCGCTGTTGTGGGGAACATCTTCCTCCAGCTGTGGGTAGTTCCTGGCACATCGTTTGGCAGTCCCATGGACCTGACATTCACGGATTGTATTTTATACTCGGCACTAGCTGGAAAAAGGGCTGAACTGAATCCAACTCAGAGCACAGGCCTGAGCCTGAAGCAGCGCGCCTTCCGCCTACCTCCCTTCTTCCCTTATGGATCTCCAGAGCCAAGGTTGCAGAAGAGACACCAGGAGTGACACTGAGGGTCATGGACTCTCAGAATTGTGACCCTGCAGATGTGGGAAGTACCTGCGTTTCAGTCTCTGACCCTACACTGGCTTACCCATCACCAGCCAATGATGAGGGAAAAACTGCCCAGATGGAAGGCCCAGCCAGATGAGGGGCCCTACAGGATGCACACCCTGTCAGGCAGGTGGCCCTTCTGTGAGTTGCTTGGGCACAGGTCATCTGTCAGCCCATGCAGGGCATCTGGGACACACATGTGGACAATGCCCTTCGGGAACAAGTGTTAGCTCTCTGGATTCTGTGATTGTCTGGCTATTCTAATGTTTACCGACAATGCTCATAGAGATTGGTCCCCAAAGGGAGGTGAGCAGGACTCAGGTATCCCCACCGCTCCAAAAGCATCCCACAAGGAGATCCCAGCTGCCCACATGGGCTTCAGAATGCAGGAGGACTAGACTAGAAAAGAGGGAGGCTGGGTGGGAGCACCGAGTTCCATTGCATCTCTGTGCCATGGGTGTACATTGCGCCTTCATGTGCACATGTGTGTGCGTGCCCATCTGCTGAACACAGCACACTTGCATGTCTCGTACTGGCACATGCATCTGTAATATAGTTTCTACATTGACTGAAGCCTAGGAGCAGAGGGTAGCCCATTGTCAATGGGCTCCCATTTCAACCCAGCTCCTATGTACTAAGGCAGCCAGTGTAGCCCAGGGCTTAAAAACAAACCATCTAAACATATCTCTAAGAATACTTTTATAGAGTGAATGAGAGGCAGTTGTTAAATGGCAAGAAGTCAGGGAGCTTTGTGAATGGGACCCACTTGGGGAAAGTTTGCATGTGGGTGGCTGACCTCACTGCCCCCAGCAGAGCCAAGAAGGCATGCTCACTGTCACCTGTTGCTGAGATCTTCGGTTGGCATTGGTTTTGAATGTAGCACAAGTGAACAAACTCCATAAGAGTGTTTTAAAAATCAACTTCTTAGGAAGTGAATTAAAAACAATAAAAAGCCCTTTGTTAAGTTAAAAAAAAAGAAAGGCTTTGTATCTTTTCTGTGTCCTGACATGTGTGTTTTTCTTGTCTCATTTGACTTGATCTTCTGGAAGGCTGTGAGGCACTGGGGGCCCCTGAGCAGCATGGCAGGGTAGTAAGAGGTAGGGAGAGGAGGGGTGGCAGGAAGAAGGATGTGGAAGAAAGGTGAGCTCATGAGACTAAGGATCTCCTGTCCTCTATGCAGCTTACATCCCAGGGCCCCTAGCTCGGAAGATTTGGGTGTTTGACAACCAGTGGGGTGGCCATAGGATACACTCTTGTCTCAGGGGTTCAGGAAGGCTAAGCTGGGGAGCTGGCTTGCCCAATGTCTTCCCCATGCCTTCTTTTTTTTTTTTTTTTTTTTTTTTTTTTTTGGTTTTTCGAGACAGGGTTTCTCTGTGGCTTTGGATGCTGTCCTGGAACTCGCTCTGTAGACCAGGCTGGCCTCGAACTCACAGAGATCCGCCTGCCTCTGCTTCCCGAGTGCTGGAATTAAAGGCGTGCGCCACCAACGCCCGGCTTCCCCATGCCTTCTTATCCTCAACACCAGTGCTCTAGTCATAGGGTCCTCCAGGGTAGTGATGTCAAGTGTCATTCTTATGGTCACACAGCCCTGAGCTTGAACACAATTTGGCTACCTAGCTGTCTTAGGGTTTCTGTGCTGTCAAGAGGCACCATGACCATGGTAACCCGTAAAGGAAGTTTAATTGAGGTGGCACCTTACAGTCCAGAGGCTCAGTTCGTTATTGTCATGGTGGGGAGCATGGCAGCGTCTGGGCAGCAGGCATGGTGCTGGAGGAGGGGCTGCTACATGTTGACATTCAGGTAACAGGAGTAGACCGACTGTCACACTGGTCGAAACTTGAGCAAAAGAGACTCAACAGCTGCCCCACAGTGACACACTTCCTCCAGCAAGGTCACCCCTGCTTCAACAAGGCCACACCTCCTAGTAGTGCCACTCCCTTTGGGGTGCATTTTCTTTCAAACGACCACACTACCCAATGACCGAAACACCTTTGGCAGGTCACTGAAGGAGCTTTAGTTTGTTTATTGGTATAGTGAAAATAGTATCGGCACTTTTATGGATTTCTTGGGACAGTAAATTTGAGTCCTTGTTTCAAAACACTGGCTTGTAATAAAATATTCAGTGAATGAGCCCCTTCTGGGGAAACCTGGAGGTTACTGTCCAGCAGGCCCTATATGGCTGCTGTTTGTGCCCAGCTGTGAACTTGCAGCTGGATGAAGCCAGAGACTAAGGAGTCCTGAAGGCTAAGAAGATGCTCCAAGTTAGTGACTGGTTTTTCCAACTGAGGAATGAGACCCTTAATGTTTTGGCTACTTCCTGGTCACTTGATGCTCCTGCGAGGCACAGTAAGTGGAAGGCCTTCTCCAGAGGAATACTGGTGGCCAGACAAAAGTTTGTCAAATACACTGCAGTAAGGGGTTTTGTTCCCATTCCCTCCCTATCCTTTCAACCCTTACCTGTCACCTCACTGGTCTCTAGCCCTTGTCCTTACTACTTACTGCCTCATAAGAATCCCAGTCTGATATCCAAAGCCTGCTGCTGGCTCTCTGGGTGCCTGCTGACTCTACCCTGTCCCCCAACACACACACTTCATTCTCGTCCCTCCCCACTGTCCATCTCTCCTGTCCCTCCAGGGAACTGTCCTTCCCACACCCCCACCTCTGCCTGCCAAAGTCCGTTACACTCTCAAGCAAAGTCTGTTGGGTCCTGAGAACTTTGAAAAGACTCCAGAGGTGGTTGATGTGATTTCCTCACGAGTAATCCTTTTCGCATGCGCACTGGTGGGACAGCTGAGGCCCAGAGAAACGGGGTTTAGAAAAGTGCCATGTTAGAGCTTGCTCACTAACCCCCACTCAGGCCTTTTCATACAAGCGCCCAGAAAACTACACATGCAAAGACGTCTGGGAAACCCAGAGCTAGAAACTACTATATCACATGGGGAGCTGAGCCCCACCAACTGTAAAGGTTTGGGGGGGCAGTTAAGTATGCCTCAGGGAGCCCTGGTGGCTACCAGGGGATGGGAATGTCTGCAGGCTTTGAAACCTGCAGGCACTTTCCTGGTCTCTGTTTCCTCATTCACTCAGCCTGTATGATGGCTCAGCTGGGGATGTGGCCTGGAAGCTGCAGATGGGGTCCCAGCTTTCCCAGGGGATGCTTACCTCTGTTTACAGGGTTACTTTCACTATACACAGGTGAGCACACTCCAAACAGCTTTTGCCCTCTTGAGGGCAAATAGACAGTATGCCCGCTAGGGAGCCAGGTGGTTGGTGGTGCTGAGTCAGTACAAGTAGTGGTCTGTCTGGCCTAGGCCTCTGAGGTGTCAGTGATTCTTAGTTCCAGGCTTAACTGGCTCCCTCCCTAACACCCTTCACCACCCGCCTCCACATGTGTGCTTAGGACTGTTCCTGGTGGCCACAGACATTCTTTTCTCCAGTTGATAGGAGAACAGGTCAAAGCTTGGCTCTTCACTGTCCTAAAAGTCTAGTGTCCATCTGTCCTTCCTGCTCCTTGCCCTGACCAGGAACTATTTACTAGAAAGTCACATGGTTGGAATTATACAGAATGCAACTTTTCTCTGTCTCAGGTAGTTTTTTGTTTGTTTGTTTGTTTTGTTTTGTTTTTTGAGACAGGGTTTCTCTGCATTGTTTTAGAGGCAGTCCTGGAACACGCAACTCGCTTGATAGACCAGGTTGGTCTCAAACTCACAGAGATCTGCCTGCCTCTGCCTCCCAAGTGCTGGCAGTCTCAGGTAGTTTTTAATGAACAGTAGGATTTGGCATGGGGATGGATGGGCTCTCCTGTGTTCCAAGCTGACCTTAAACTTGCTGTGTAGCCAAGAATGGCCTTGAACTTTCTGATCCTTCCTGCCTCTACCTTTTGAGTGCTGGGATTACAGCTGTGTGCTATCATGCCTAGTTTAAAGTAGCTACACACAGCCCAAGTCTTTATTTTATAATTGAAAGTCACAATTTTTTAAGCTTTAGCAGTATTTATTTTATTTTACTTGTTTTTAGTAGCTCAGGATAGCCCCAGATTACAGGTGTGAGTCACCATGCTCAACTGGCTGTGTGGGCATGTGCTTGCATTTAAGTATATATGTATGTATGTGTTCATGTGGGTGTGTGGAGGCTGGAGATTGATGTTGGGCATCTTCCTTGATTACTCCACACTTAGTTATTTTTCTAAAGTTTTGTTTTTGTTTTTGTTTTGGTGTTTTGAGATAGGGTGTCTCTTTGTAACAGCCCTGGCTGTCCTGGAACTCGCTCTGTAGACCAAGCTGGCCTTGAACTCAGAGCTCTGCTTGCTTCTACTTCCCATGTGGTGGGATTAAAGCTGTGTGCCACCATGCCCAACTTCTAAAGATTTTTTAAAAAATTGTTTTAAGTCGGGCATTGGTGGCACATGCTTTTAATTCCAGCACTCAGGAGGCAGAGGCAGGCAGATCTCTGTGAGTTCGAGGCC